ATTGGGTCTGTTATGGTCTAAATGATGGTGTTCCCCTCTGAAATTCATGTTTAAACTTAATCCCCATTGCAACAGTATTGAGAGTTGTAGCCTTTGGAAGGGGATTGAGTCATGAGGTGTCCATCCTCACGAATAGGATTAGCACCCTTATAAAAGGGTTGAAGGGAGCATTCTGACATGTGAGGATACAACAAGAAGGCCCTCACCAGATACCTTTTTTGGACTTCTCAGTCTTCAGAACTGTGAGAAATAAATTACTATTGTTTATAAATTACCCAGTTGGTGGTATTTTGTTACAGTAGCACAAATGGACTAAGGCAAGTGCATACCCCAATAATGCTATCATGGCACTTAGACTTAATTACTGTATTTGATTGCAGAAAACTGCCTTTACTCAAGCTCCATCACCTGATTCTAATGTCTGTGTTCTGAGTTTAATTTCTTACTGTGTCACTAAGATCATCTTGCTATTCTACCTATGACAGACAGAATAATGATTCTCCAATGATATCCACATCCTAATCCCTGCAACCTGTATATGTGTTACCTTACATAGCAAAGGGCAATTAATAAGGCTAATCAGTTGACTTTAAAATGAGGATATTATCATGGATTAAATGGGTTGGCCCAATGTAATCACAGGAATTCTTAAAAGTAGAAGAGGAAAGCAGAAGAGGAGGTCAGCATGATAGGATATGAGAAGAACCCACTGTTGCTGGCTTTGAAGATGGAGAAGGAAGGCCAGGAACTAAGGAATACTGGTAGCTACTATTAATAGAAGTTGAAAAGGGCAAGGAAACAGATTCTTCCCTAGAGAGGGGAATGCAGACCTGCCAAAATTTTGATTTTAGCCCTGTAAGACCCATTGAAGACTTCCGAATTACAAAACTGTAAGATAATAAGTTTCAATGTTTTAAGCCTGCAGTCCTTCACCCCCCAAGCCCCAGACCAGTACCAGTCCTTGGCCTGTTAGGAACCAGGCCACACAGCAGGAGATTGAGTGGCAGGCAAGCAAGAGAAGCTTTATCTGTATTTACAGTCACTCCCCATTGCTTGCCATCACCCACCCCCCACCCCCTGTTGCTCCATGAATTAATGTAAATATATTGGAGACAGTAAATGTCTCAGGAGTTTTGCAGAGCTTTGCCCTGAAGGAATATGTGAACGTGTTAGTTTGCATATCAAAAGCTGTTTCACCTCAGGAGGGCATCTCTGAAAGACAGTAGCGGCTGAATCCCACAAAGCACCGGGATTCTCAGACCTAAAGGTTTGGACTTGCTTTGTAAAGCAAGGCAGGTCTGCTAAAAACTACAGGATGAGAGCTGATCAAAGAGTGCCCGCCCAAACAGACAGCCACCTATGGCTATAAGCAATTAGCCCAAGGGACAGTTCCTGCTTAAAACTCCAGATTACCTGTCTCCATTCACAATAACCTGATAAAGAAAATATGGAGCCAATATATCTCTGTTTAACCCCTTTGTTAAGTGATAAATTTACCTTAGAACTTAGAAGTTAGCCTTTGAAAGATTTTGTAACCATTTGTTCATGTAGAAAGAGTTAGTTAGGGATCTGAAGAAACCTTTTGAAAAACTGTTAACCTAAGAGGAACTACCTGTTGTTATGTAGATCTATTACCCCTGGCAACTGATCACTGTACCTATAAATGACCATGTAAAACTTCACTTGTGGCCTCTGAGACTGACGTAGATATCCAGGCCCCCTGAGCACCCGCTTTGCCTATAATCTTTATAAATCTATAAAGCTATACCTTTGTTTCTGTGTATTCTTTTATTTCCATTATTTTCCATTTTCTATTATTTTCTTATCCTTTGCAACCCTACCAAAGGGATCTGGTTTTTGCTGGTAGCGTGGCCACCTCCCTGCACCGCCCCACCATGGGTCAGTGTAAACATTGTCTTCCATGAAACCAGTTCTTGGTGCCAAAAAGGTTGGGGACCACTTTTTAAGCCACCAAATTTGTGGTAATTTGTTAAAGCAAACATAGAAAACTGCCCCTAAATTGGGCATAAATTACATAATTTATGCCCATGAATTATATAATAATGAATTGATATCATATTTTCAGTTTCTTTGCAGACTTATACTAATGAGCAGTCCTTGGGCAATTATCTTCTATGTTATCAAGATTAGGATGGACTATACACAGCAGGCCTGGCTATAGTCTGTCATAGTGTCTTATTTATTTTTATATTTCTAACATCTAGTACAGCGACTGCCACAGAGCAGAAGCACAGTAACAGTTTGTGGGATAAAGGAAAAATTCGTGGTAATTAGATCCAGACCCAGGGATTGCTGCTGGTTATGTATTATTGATTTATGTTCATCATTTTTTGTGTAGTAAAAGTGGAATCCCTGACTAGAAAAATGGTTAGGATGGTGGTTCTCAAACTTTAGTGTTCATTGGAACCACCTGGAAGGCTTGGTGAATCACAAATTGCTGGGCCCTCTGTCAGAATTTTTGATTCGGTAGGGTGGAGCCCAAAAATTTGCATTTCTAGTAAATTCCCACATAAGGCTGATGGGACTGTTCTGGGGACCCGACTTTGGGCCGTTATACTCCTTAGTCCCTCTCAGATGCCCTCTCGGGCCAAAGTAGCTCGACATGTTCTCCAAGAACTCCCTGCTTTTTTCTCTCTCTGTAGCCACCCATTCTGTCCTTAGAGGTTGTACTCTCTACAAGCCTGGCTAATACATTTAGTAGTTTTCCTAAGGTTTGTTCCTCTTCCAACCCCCAGATTTGTTGCATAAGAAAATAGGAATTCACTTAGTTCCTTTCATTTTAAAAGGAGTAGAGGATAATAAAATCAAACACTAAAAGAATCTAAAAAATTAAATGGAAAAGTTACAAAGGTGGCAAATTACTTTAAATTCTTGTATTATTGACAAGAATCTGTAGTCTCTTACTCCCTTCTGAGGTGGTTACTCTCTTGGTTAGCTTTACCTGGCACTCCTATGGTTTTATAGGCCTTCCTGCCCATCCTCAACAGATATTGCTCTCATAAAAATACCTTCAACATACTTCTATCACTGTATTTACCATAATGTTTTGTGATTTTTTTCTGCTTGTCCACTAGATTGAGTTCATCTTCTGTCATCTCTTACCATAATAGTACCTACCAGTTAATATATGTTGGATAATGGTATAGAATGAAGTAACAAATAAATAACCAATGGACTCTAGTTCTTTGCTTTTGTTTCCGAGTGACAGTGGGACTCATCAGATTTTCTAATCCCTTCTAAAACTGCTGGCAAGGCAGAGTAATCTGTGCCTGTTTGCTTCAAAGGGATAAATTGAAGCTCTGAAGATTTACTGATTTGGTGACAGTCATTCACTAAGTCACCCACCATGCCCTCCTCACTAACCAAATGAATACATTTAAGAATTTCTTAAAAGGATTTCTTTCTTCCTGCTTGATGTGATTGACCTCTTATCTGGCTTGTTCTTGTCAGTCATTTGCACAATTAAGCTGTTTTTTTCTCTCTGGAAACTTACAGGATCTTTGTTGCCATTTTTCTGAAATTTTATAGTAATATACTTTGGTGTGGCTCTACTTTATTTATTGTGTTTGACACTTAGTGGGCCCTTTCAATTTGAAGTTTTGGTTTTCTTTATTTAGGTTTTTTTTTTTTTTTAATGAAAAAGACTAACTACACCGGGTAAAAAAAAAAAAAAAAATCAACCAGTATGCAAAGATATATGATGAAAATAAATCTCTCTCTCTCTCATGACAGTCCTCTCCCAGAGAAAATTGTCTCCTACTTTATATTCTCGTTGGTGCTGATTATTAAAAGGAGCTCTGGAAATTGTTGAGAATATCCTATCTCAATGTATAATCATGGTAGTATACATATATATTTAAAAAATAATGTTGGGTTTTGTTATTGGTTTAATATTGTCTCTCTGCTTATGTAGTTTTGGCAATATATTACATATTCTTTAAAGTAACATGACCAAACTACTAGGGAACTTCTAAATACCATAGCATTCACTTGATACTAATATTTCCCTGATGTCTTTTATTTCTATTTGATATTTTGTCATTTATTTTGTGCTACTTCTATGAATAAAGTATTCATATCATATTTGCATGGGAAATAATAGTTTAATCATTGATTAGTGAATAACTGATGAGCTCAATGCAAGAGAAACATACATAGTAATATTCAACAAATATTTATTGAATGCCTACTAGGCTGACGCAGTATCAGAGATACTACTAATTCTTTGTTTTCTTTTGGCATACCTTCTACTGTTCTGCATTAATTCGAGAACTGTGTCTTTTTTTCACATTGTTGAAAATTAATAGTCTTATTTTACTTCTCTCTATATTGTTCAAACCTTTTTTGCACAAAAAATCACAAAGCCATTTCTTTTAAAGGTGTTTTTTTTTTTAATGTCATGTAATGGCAGTGTTAAACAGTCTCTGGAGATTAGTAAGGTGGTTTACAGTGTGTGAATGTGTGAGTATGTGTGCATACATGCATGTTAGGAAAATATCTATTGAAAATAAAGTCTTGCATTACTAAGAAAAATTCTTAACAGATAAAATGTGCAAAAAGCTTACTTGTTTATGCAAATAGCCAGATTTTAAGCGATTGGGGATAATCATCTTCATTGTATTCTAAACTGAAAAAAGTTATTTGGTAGACATTTGAGGAAAATAATATTTCTCCTTTGTGAACAAATTTCTTCTAGTGGATCATATTATTTTGCTTAAGAAGGATTGCTTGTCATTGTTTTTTCTTAGACATTGTAGTATTAAAAGGTTTTGAAGCCATACTTTAGTAACTTTATCTGTTTTCTATTACATATTAAATTCTAGACTGAAATTTGAGTTATTGGAAATAAAACATTTGACTAAAGGCATTCTCACAAATAATACCTAAAAGTTATATACACTGTTTTTTACATCTTACCAAGAATTTTTAAATGATTTTTTATTATAAATATTGATTTTATATAACTTTTCTTTTGCCAGATGATGGACCTAGCAAAAGTGACTCTGTTACTGAGACTGCAATGACACTACCAAGTGAATCCAGAGTCAATGTACACGCCATCGTCACATTAAAAATATTAGACTATAGGTATGTAATTCATTTTTTAAACATTGCCAAACACGTAGGAAACTTAAGAGGAAAAAAACCCTTCAGAAAAAGGAAAATTGATGAAGAGGAATGTATCAGAGTACTTAGAGTAATAGCCGTTGCAAAAAACCATGATGAAATGAAAGCATATTAAAAGTATAATGAATTTAAATAGCCATTCCTTCTGTGATAGATGATTTCATTAATAGTAATATTTTTATAAGAATATTTTATTATTATAAAAAATAAAAAAGTGAAAGTATTGATAATAAACTTCTCTGATTCAGTAACCAGTATCTAAAGAAAATTTTATATCAGGGGAGTCTTTTTAGTCAGTAAGTTTATTTAATTAAAACCTTAAAAAAAAAAAAAAAAAACCTTGACTAGCAGGCAAAGCTTGAGAGGTTGTACCTGCTAATTTATCTGAACGTAAGTCAAATAATATGTCATAGTAATAATGTGCTCTGGTAATGTGCGCATATATTAAAACTGAAACACTTACAATGTTAGTATATAATTGAGACAAAGCCTAAATATTTTTATATGTTATAGAAGTGTATTAAATTGGGGAAAGCAGATACCTATAAAAAAATTGAAGGTGGTTGTCAAATATCCTTTCAGTACTATCTATGGCAACACTAATAAAAGTCATTGGTTCATGTATGGGTGGGCATTATAGTGAACATACAAAAGAATATAGGTTAGATAGGTGACTAGGTTTATTCAAGAATCTATATAGCCAGCCTCAGTGCCTGGCCTCTTATCCTTAATGTATCAGTAGGATCCACCTTCTTAGCAGTCAGGATATAGTCTCCATTTCTTATTTGTTGGATTTCATTCACATTATTCTCACCTCTCATCAGCCACTCTTTGATATATGTATTAGTAGAAATCACTATTCTAAGCCAAGTTCCTTTTGCCACATGAACATAGGTAGTGTGTTACTCTATACTTACATTTGTGTACTACTTCTCACAGAGCATGGCAACTTAGCATATCTTATCTTCCACATCATATACCTATTTATTCAGTAGATATTTTTGGAGTCTACTAATGAAACAGACTTCATTCCTGCCTTAGTCTTTCTTGGCTTAGAATTTATCTCTGGCTTCCATTCTCTCCATTCTGTATTGATGCCATTTATTGAGTTTCTGTTCTATGCTGGGCGCTGTACTAGGTGCATATGCTGTTGTTTTTAATCATGCAGACAATCTATAAAGTATATTGACCCAATTTTATTTGGGGCAACCATTCCCACTTTTGTAAGGCACAAATGTCACAAAAGATACATCTTAGGTTGCTTTGATTCTAAATTTATTGTAGTTTGTTTTTCTCAGAGACTTTAATTGGAAAGGAGTATTCTATTTAAAATATAAATTAATTCTCAATCTCAAGGCATAAATGCTTTTTCAACTAAATTTTGAAAATAGCGTGAATCTTCCAATGGATTAGCATAAATCAATTCCCCACAACTCGAGCATTTCTAATTGAGAAGATGAAAGTGCTGCATCTGCACAGAAGAAAATGGAACCATAGGAGTAGAAAGCATAATAATTATGAAATTTTGACAATCTTTTTACATATCCATATTATGATGGCTTTCCTGCATGATTCTCCCATATCATGCATTATATGTAATATTGTTTTCTTGTGTATGCATTCATTTGACATTCCATTGAAGTTTCTTTTAGGTGGGTAACATTGTGTTAGGCATTCATAACTTAAAAGAATGTAAGGATAATGGCTAATAATAGCATCGACAAATTATTAAATCTGCAAATGTTAGAGTTCTATACAGTTGTCCCCACTTATCCACAGTTTCACTTTCTATGGTTGCAGTTACTTGTGGTTGACTACAGTTTGAAAATATTAAATGGAAAATTTCAAAAGTAAACAGTTCATAAGTTTTACATTGCCTGATGTTCTGAGTAGCATAATGAAATCTTGCACAGTCTCTCTCCATCCTGCCAGGGACACAAATCATCCCTTTGTCTAGTGTATCCAAGTTGTATATGCTACTGGCTCTTAGTCACTTAGTAGTCATCTCAGTTACCAGATCAAAAAAACAAAGTATTAATATATACTATATAGGGTTTGGTAGTATCTGTAATTTCAGTCATCCACTGGGGGTCTTGGAATGTGTCCCCCTGGATAATGGGGAATGACTGTACTTTTCGTTTAAGATTAATTTATATTTTATTGAAAATCTTACTGAGAATTTTAATTAAAAGGAAATTTATTTATATTTACATTTGAAAAAATATGGCATATATAACAATGAATAGCTCTTCAGATTGTAATTTTATAGAACCAAGGTTCAGGAAGAGTAAATTACAAAGCTCATTAATGGTAGAAGTAGGAATAGTTTAATTTCAGTCCACTGCTCTGCCTACCTTTTCACATACTAAAGGAGAGAGAAAGTGGCCTAGGTTGCTAAACTTAGTTTAGTGTAATGTTGAACTTTTAAAAATTATTGTTACCTTGCAGCAAGCTGTATACCCAAAGAAAGATGACAGGTAGCCCCTTTAATAGAGTTTTAAGAAGCGGGGCAACAACCAGTTTTTAAAATGATAGATTCAGTTCTACTCAGAAGTAGAGAAATGGGCTATCCATTTATTATATGATTTGCAGATATCTCAGGCTCTGAAGACATATGTCTTGTTTTTATTCATGTTGAGTATACGAATGCTGAGAAGGTGTAGCACAATGTGTTGTAACACAATATGTTGTCTGAATTCCTAACTGAACATTTTGTGGGTTGGTAGATTTTTGTGACAGTTTTTATAAAACTTCATAACCAACTGCCTTGAAAATTTTATAAAATCTTTAAAGTCCTTTATAAATGAAGAATAATAATCATATTTTTCTGAACTAAAAATGGTTCATTTTTTAAAATCATTTTCCATTTAGTGATAAACAAACAACTTTGATTCCTGATGAAGTGTTTGATGCAGTAAAAAGCAACATCATCACTTCTATTAACTTCAGTAAGAATCAGCTATGTGAAATTCCAAAAAGGTAAGAATTATTCATGATGCCATTTCTATTAGGCTGTGACTTGTTCTTAGTTGTAGTCTCATTTTAGTTGCAAGAAAAATTATTTCTCATGGTTTTTTAATTAGAAAGTATA